GCGGCAGATGGGGCGAGATTGTCAGGATGGATGTGACAAGTTTTGAAATAATTTATGATATGTCAATATTAAATTCGCTTCCGCAATATTGTTAAATACTCCGTACTGTATATGTTATGAAAAATATTATTGGGATTAATAAAGTGTGTTTGAAAAGTTTTAAATTTTACGATTACCAAGTTAAATACTTTAGTCCGAATGGGGTTGCAGACCTGGACGGATTAGGGTGTTACAGCAAGCGCCTTCTTATTGAGAGAGATTATGCTAAAGGTTATTTTCGGAAACTATATTTGATAAAAAAAATTAGAAAGTGGTATATTCGTATACCTAATTTTTTAATGATTATTGTTTTTATTTTCAGAGAAACATGGATCCTAATTTGCTCCCAACCGAATTCAATCGCTTACTTGGACAGAAGTGTTTGTTTAATGTTCTCTTGAAACCAGAGGTCGGTAGCCCACATTGGACAGGGCCAAGAGCTTTTGGAGTAAGATCTTTGGTCACCGATCCGAAGATCTTGAAAAACTATGAACATGTTGCATTTGTGGAAGACTAGGAAGCCGAGGAAGAGAGTGAAGGTTGGTGGAATTAACTAGAAGATTTGAGGCAAAAAGTGAATGAAGTGGTATAATACTTTTGCTTCTATCTATTTGTTTTTTTAATTATTTTCTATTCTTTTAATTGTTCCTAATTATTTTATATTCTTCTAATTGTTCCTAAATTTTTAATTGTTCACAATGTATTAGTACAGTCCTTTCGGATGATTGGCCAAAGGATAAGTCATTCCACAGATTTAGAAGTCAAGTTGAAGTTAATTGGGAGGAGAACTTTAGGCCCAAGGGTTTACAATTTACCATCAGTTGGTGAAGTTGCAGCTTTAATTGTTGGAGATCTTGATCAGGCTTTAGAAGAGAGGGATATTGTGGTCCTAACTCATTCACGTCCGTTGAAACACATAAGTGAGTTACATGCAGCATATCTGAGTCTCCAATATCCACTATTGTTTCTATATGGCGATGATGGTTATCGAGAGGATATACCATTTGCAGATAAAACATCACTAAAGATTAGTGGACGGAGAAGCGTTAGCATCAGTGAATTCCTTTCTTATCGTTTACATGAGAGGGATAAAGAAAGTTCATTAATATTGCGATCACGACGACTATTTCAAGAGTTATGTGTTGATGGTTATACAATGGTTGAGTCATCTACATTGACGTACATCAACACGCACAAAAACAATTACGTTGTGAGATGTAGAATAGATTTTCTGATTCGTTGGTGCAAGGTGACAACGATACGGCTACTAAGGGGAAAAGAATTATTGTACCCCCTACGCTTATTGGGGGCGCCCGTTACATGATTCAGAACTATCAAGATGCTATGGCAATATGTCATTGGACTGGCTATCCAGATTTGTTTCTAACGTTCACTTGCAGTCCAAAATGGCTAGAGATTCAGTGTTTCTTGCAAGGAAGAGAATTAAATGTTGAAGATCGCCCAAATATTGTGTCTAGGGTGTTTAACATGAAACTAAATGGTTTGATACGAGATTTAAAGAAGAATAAGATTTTTGGAAGAATTAGAGGATGTAATTACTATTTAATTATCTGCTTTATACTAAATGTAATATATTTTTATTACAACATCATTTCTAATTCGTGTACCACTATTTTAATTGCAGTGGTGTATACTGTTGAATTCCAAAAGCGTGGACTACCGCATGCTCATATCTTATTGTTTTTGGGTCAAGAAGATAAATTCCGCACTCCTAAAGATATTGATGAGATCATATCTGC